CCCTCCTGCTGCTGCAGCATGGGTTGGGGGGGAAGCCACAATCTGGCTGCAGTAGTCCTGGCCTAGCCCCTCATCCAACCCAGGTGCAGCAGCCCAGCCCTGGCCAGGAAAGGTAATCAGGTTCCCCACATACTCTTTTCCCACCATCAATGCCCTGTCCTTCCTACTGTACCTCCCACACATCCCAACCCCCTGACCTGAATCCCTCATACACCCTGACCCTGACTCCTACACCCCATCCATAGTCTACATCCCGATTAAATAGGCAGTAAATACAATGTTTCATTTATACTATTATTAATCTTCATGTCACTTATTGATAATATTAAGTTGTATGTTTTCAGTCATGCAAATGAGCATTCTTACACTGGCTCTTTGTTGACCAGATGTTCTGAATTTTGATGTAGTTTGCTGCTTTGGTCTGAAAAGTTTGCCAAAAATAAGAGTTAGTGGATCTTCAATTTAAATTGGAAAGAGCTACAGGTGAATGCTCATAATAACAGATGCTTAACTCTGTAATTCACTTCTTGTTCTACCAAAACCTGGACTTTCAGGTCTTAGTCGAAGATACTCCTGTTCTTGAGGAATTTTTATGGGACTGGAGGTTTTTGTGTAATGTGTTAGGCAGATGGATAGGAAAAGAATATGTTGGCATTGAGTCAGTATAGTTCATCAGTCTCTTGTGTTTGGCATTTATTCATGTGTGTAATATTGATTTGTTTTTCTTAGGTTTTGGATTTCTTCTGATCTGAGTATGCCTTGTCTAGTCAAAAATAAAGGGCATGTGTTAGACTATCTTAGCTAAGACATACTGGCTAACAGTATTGCTGCTAACATCTGCTTAGCTGGTTGAATGTAAGGATTTTTGAATGTGTTAGGTAGAATATTAGGTAATACTACCTAATTTTTTCCTAGTCTGGGATATGTATTAGCACCGTGGCCACCAACCTGTCAATCGTGATCGCCCGGGCTTGACCAGTTGATCACAAGGCTTTCGGGGAGTCCCCCTCACTCTCCCCCATGCCCAAAAAGAACCCAGTGCTGATGCTACCTCCAGTGACAATGGAGGTATCGCGAGCTTCCTGTGGGGTGGGGGGGAGTTCTTCAGCTGCATGCCAGGTCTAGGAAGTGCTCAGGCTGCTCTTCCCCACCCTGTGCAAACAGCCAGCATGGTATCTGAAATGGAGGATTCATTGTGAGCCGGGGACTTCCTTCCCTCTGCTTCTTCCTGAGCAGCGGGGGGTGGGGGGAGGAGGTGACAGGGTTGGAGTCCCAGGACTGTGCCAGCTTCAACTGCTCAGGCAGTGTGCACCCTGCTCCCCATGACAGCATGCGCTATCTGAGCAGTTGGAGCTGGCACAGTCCCAGGACTCCTACTCCCTCTGCCCCCAGTAAGGAA